GTGCAGCCAAATGGTCTGGTAATCTGAGGGATATATTCTGGCTGTTATTGTTGTTAAACCATATACCAGCTCTAGATATGTATTTTCTGTCTTGGGCAATAAGGTAAGAGCTATCTAATATAACTGTTGTCATCTCAGGATGGGAGCTGTTAGAGGGGGGGAAGCTTGTAGAGCTGGTATGGTATGGGCTGGATCAGTTTTGATAAAGACTCTAAAGTTGTCTTTCTTCAAGGTATCATTCTATTAAAGAGTACACTTTCTTTCGCTCTTAAGGCTTTCTCATTAGAGGTTGGTTGTTAGTTAGTTAGGTCTGGAATGAATTTGATTTGTTCCATGCTGGAGTGTCATTTCGATTGGATACATTTGAGAATTTCTTCAGTGAGTTCTTACATTTGAAGAGTTTCATATAATATAGGGAGACATGGTTAGGGATGCAGTGCTCACATAAGCAGTTGTTTTTTTTGATAAAACAGATAATATCTACCAGGAATCATTTCTATTTGACCAATTGTGTTTGCAAGGTTGTTTTTCCTCAAACAGGTTGCATAGAAACTATTATTCAGCTTGTTGAGTCCATTGGTGGTGCCAATATGGAACCAGGAAGGTAGTTGCCTTGAAACATTACTTTTGACTGATATACAGCTTTCTCATGAAACGTGCCATAGGCATAATAGTGTAGTCTACCTCTGTTTGTTTTTACTTTGGACTGCAGTCTGATGTAGCCCCTATCTCTACTCTGTACCTCCAGAACTATATCCTGTTCTCCTGTCCTTTATACCTTTCGAATTCCCTGTCCTTTGTACCTTCATACCTTCAGACCTCCTGTCCTCCAGTCCTCCTGACCTTTGGACCTCTGGACCTATCCTCCTGATGTAGTTCCACTCTATCCTGCTTGAGACTTTGTCTCTTGTAGTCCCCCTTCCATTCTATTTCCTCTAGAGGCATTGCCTAGGGATCTCTCTGCTTCCTGTGCAGTGGAAACTCCTCCAGACTTTCCTGTACTCCTCTGGAACTCTCCCATGTTCCTCTGGACATTTCCCACACTCCTCTGGAAGTCCTTTAGACTTCGTCAGACCATCATTGGACTTCATCCGAAATCAAGGGCACCATACTTGGGTAAGGGGTACAGCGTACAAGCTGAGGCCAAGCCCTTCGGATCTGTCAACCCTTGAGCATGGTCTTAACAACCAGTTTCTCACCAGGTATTTGTATATTGACCAACACAAGCTTTGGTCATTGTAGTCATATTGGAGACCAGCTTCTCAACAGTTTGTGAGACCAGTCTCTCACCAGTATTTTGTATATTGACCAACATGAGCCTTGGTCAATGCTAATGTATCTGAGACTGTTGTCTCATCAGAAAGTCATATATTCAAGAAACCAGCTCAAGTGTCTAGACGGTATATCCTAGACAAGTTTATAGTTTCAATCAGAGATAATAAAGCTCCAGCTAAGTTAATCTAACTGATTAGTTTAGCAAGCCTCCTAAGAACTTCTATATTATCTACCATGAAAGAAGAAAAGTCATAGACCATGTTAATCAAGGACTGGCAAGAAGTCTTATCAAGTGTAATTGAGGTGTCATTACATTCTTACACGTATTCATATAAGACCCTCGGTTATTAAGACACTGAATATCCTGCATCTTGCTACTACTCTTACCTATACGATCCATACATCATAGTTAGATAAAAAGGACCCAAGTCTCATATTATATCTCACTTCCCTTTCCCAGACTTACCTGCTATTGCTGTGGAGTCACCCTAGTTAGCCTGTGATTAGTGCAATTTATCCTTTGCTCTCTATCTTCAGACATGCCTTGACCGCTCTAAGTGTGCACTATCTAGGGTTTCTATACCTAGGCCCTTGTGAGATTCAGATTGTTACCGGTAGTATTCTCTTCTTTCCTATTATCATTACATCAGCTCCATTTCTCTAACTTTGCTAAAATTTGCTCTACTTTCTACTTAGTGTTCTATACCTCAAAAATTAATTAATTGCTTTATTTTATTCTTTCCACTCATCTTGCAAATATCAAGGTCTTGTTCACAGCTATGAAAATCTCTACTTCATATAGCACAACTGGAAGTAGAATATAGAAAAGGTTGATGCAATAAAGAGAGAATAATAAATCACAACTCTGTGCAGCTATGATCCTCCACATACTTTAAAACTTCTTCACACAATTCTCAACACCCTGTTCTTTTGTCTTCCTCAAGCTGTCTTAACAACGTCAAAGTTACATTTTGCAAGTAAATATTTGGTATCTAACATAGGAATAATTTGGCATTAAATGAATACAGTGAAAGGAATGTGGTACTGACATGACTGATCAGAGGTGCTAATGTGTGCCATTGATTTATATACCCTGCAGTCATGTCTCTGCTCATTGTGACTCAGTAGAGCCTGCAATCAAGTTGAACTGACACAGTGAACAGACATGTGGAACCTACAGCACTTTTTATGACAATAAGAGTTGTAGAAGACAGATGCAATGTGGAGTTCACTTAAGTTCGAAGTTGGTATATAACATTTCAATAAAAATATCATGGTCAATCTTTACTAGCTGCAGAAGTTCATTGAGGAGTGGTAAAATTGCACCAACAACTACTCTAACGGTGAGCCCTCCATTTTCAATGTGTAGCTCTGGATCCTCTATCTGATTGACAAGATATCTGAATGATCCTTTATTGATATGCAGATCTACCATCAAATGTACTATTAAGCTAGGGTGCAGACTTTTAATACATGGTAGAAAAGGCTTATGTATCACTGGTAGCTAGTACAGTATGACAATGTTGTATCATAGTAATACTAACTTAAAGAGGTGGCAGGTGTCATTGTATGGATCTCAGAGTCTAAGTCAGAACAGCTGTGGGGTGACTCAGTAATCTGAGTCATCAACTTGAAAAAGCCTCACCTGGTTCTGAACCTATCTTAACACTAACTTTAATACAATCAATGTATTCTATTGACATTCCTGAAGATATTATGCACTTACTGGATAGCAGCTACCAAGTATCATTGAGTATCACTCAGAATGACACCTGACTCGGATAGGAGTCAACATGCCCTTGTATTCCCTAAGGGTCCATTCTCAGTATAAAATTTGTTGCTGGGATGAAGAAAAGCTTGATTATTTTGAAGGACCTCCTAAGAAAAGACTGCACTTGAAGCATGACCTGGAGAAGAAAGAGTGGGAGGCAGCAGAAGGGGGAGGGGAAGCAGAGGGAGCAGAAAGTAGAAAGCAGTAGCAACCACAGATCCTACTGGTGCAGTTCAGTGGATCTATTGTATCCATCTACAGAGTCTGACATTTTAACTAGGATTGTAGAGCTAGCAAACCTTTTCTTTTCAGTGCATATGAAAAATATAAATTCAGATGTCCACTACCTTTGTTTCAGCCTATAGCAGGGACCATTGCCTGCATGCCTTGGTTTGGAAGTGCAGGTTTAATGTTGATTCTTGTCATTATTTTTTATTCATATCCATAGTGGACTATATAAAACTAGCCTTTCACCTTGCAAAGTAAGTTCTTTGTATTTTACTTGTTTGGTTATTGACATTTGTACAGAATCAAAGACAAAAACATCCTATATGCTTATCTAGATAAAGAAGCAGGTGTGAACTCAGGTACTGTAGCTGAATTTGCCAAGCATGAAAGCTGATTGGCTTTCATTGCATGTGCAAGTAAGTGATATTGTTCTTTTTGTCAGCTTTACATGCTAATGTTTACCAGGGACTCTATATATATGGCTTCTTATAGCAGCATCAGGCATGACTGGTCACCTGACCTATAGGAGCAAGATTTGCCACCAAATAGTATCCTACTTCTGTAATATTCTTCATTTATCTAAATGTGTGTAGAGATTTTTATTTTTCCTCAGCTGATACTGATTTTGGATAGTTTTTGCCACTGAAAATGAGACTGTCAGTTATGTGGCAAGAATTGTAGCACTTTTATGGAAGATTCACACTTTATGCATATCCAAACCTATTGACTGTCCAATCTTCATAAAGGATGTTAGTAGTAGTGATAAAGATGTCACTCTATCTTTTAGAGATTTTCTCCAGTGTGAAAGAACACTATCTAGGCTTCCATACAAGCATGTTTTAATCACTTAATTACTAAGGATATCTAAAGAGCATATCTTCTCTTCTTTAGCACATTTCAGCTGCCATCCAGAGAGTCTACTGGTATCCTCTGGTTTCATTTGCAGTTAAAGGCCCTCCTCCTCCTATAACATTGACTTCTGGCTTGTAGAGATGGCTAATCGCCTACTTCAGACAATATCATCTCCACTCTGTATACAGGACTTTGCTACTTCTCCTGTCAGTAAAACTACCTGGGTAACACCATATATAGTACATATTAGTAACACTTATGACATACAATACCTGTTACTAAGTAGGGGTGAAATTATATGCTGTAGCACTCAGCAGTGACCTTGATAGAGCTATAGAGGGACCGGTACCATAGATAACAGGGTAGATAGGTAGATATGATAAGATCTCATCTAATCTGATCACATGCTTTTTAGACTCTGCACAATCAACACTGCCACAGTCATGCCATTATGCCTGCCACATTTACACTATTTCCCACACTTCTCTTCCCTTCATGCTCTTCGGTATGCATGATGAGCACCATATATCACTCATTTCACACCATTCTTTTTGTACCTATCTGACATTTTCATTGCTATTATAACTGTCAACATCCACAACACTCCCATGCCTCCCAAATCTTCAACATTGGAGACATTCTCAACCTTGTGTATACCCTCTGCTGTGCCACCTCATGTCATTATGCTTGTGCCCATCCTCTGCCGTGCCACTTCATGTCATCATGCCTGTGCCTATTCTCATGCCATTCCTCTGCTGTGCTACCTTGTGAGAAATATGGCATAATATATAGGTATGTAGCTTAATATCTTCCTCACTTACTTTCTTTTCACTACTGTCATGGGCCACTGCAAGCAGAACATGTCAACCTCCTCATGGGTTACAATGTTTCTAGTGGATTTAGTATTTAAGATTTGTACTAGTACTGCATCTCTCACCAAAATTTGCTATTAAGAGAGACGAGGCACCATCAAGAAACACGAGGTATGTGTAGTTGTAGTTACTTTTAAAATTTATGATCTACACTTTGACAAGTGGGACATGAACAAGTACTTTGAGATAAGTATGAATCAGTTTGCTATGTTACATCTTGCTTAATGTTCTTAGGTTATTTTCTTTATAACAACTATGTTCAAGCCCTGCAAATCATCAAGTGATACTCTGTTGAGCTTGAGGAATTCAAGCAATGCCAGGAACTTGTCAATGTGGACTTTCTCAAATGGCAAGACAAGGAATCTGAATACCTAGGCCAAGTGGCCACCAAGCCCATGGCAGATGCTATTGCTGTCGCTTACATTGAGCAGCTCAAGAAGTTAAAACTTGCAGAGTTTGTTTTTGGTGTCAGATGTAGTGCGATTTTTCTGATTTTGGCATCCCTAGGGTAATGTATGACAGTGTCACTTCAGTTCTATTCCTCACTTACATGCCTACCAACTTTACACATACCTCAGATCTCAATGCACCCACACATCATCATTCAAAGGTATTTGAAGCCGATTATGCTGCCACACTTTGAAGATATGAGTTACAATTAAACATTGTTGCTGATTTTGAGCACTAGCATGATATTTGGCAGTGCTGGACACCAGAATGTCCTGAGTATGCTATGGCTTTGAAGTACTTCCATGAATGCCACTTTGTTCGTGTGGTGGAGGAATTGGAAGGATTAGTTGTGCAATGCCTGTTTGAACTGTCAAAGGCCAATCTCACTGGTACAGGTAGATGCACAATTTTCAGTGGCAGGGTTCACTAATATTTGATTCCTATAGGATATCAGATGTGCAAGTACATTTCCAAAGCCATCATGCGCTGTTCAGCAGCCATCTGCTCAGCATTGGAGAAGTACAGTGCTCAGGCTATAGTAACTTCTTCAAGTTGCCTGCTGCACATGAAATTCAATTCTATGAGAACTTTCTATCACCCTGAGTCAATTCGAGGTTCTCAGGCCTAATCAGTGAGCATAGAGGATTTGCTTCAACCCATGAGTCATATCATTGAACTCATTACCTTACACTAGCTGCACCAGCTAATTCAGACTCGTTTAATTGCCAATTTCATTTACATAAACAATGCTATAGGAATGTTACACATGGAAAACCCTATTTCAAGGTCAATCAAAATGTGCCTTCAAGTTGTACCAATACTGAAAGCCAAATTAGGGATGTCTATTTCAGCATCAACACCTCGTTGTTCAGCAGTACAGTTGAAATTAGTCGAAGCATTTTCATTAGACATTTTCCCTATCAGACTTGCAGACTCAAGTGTTTGATTGAGATAATGTAGTGACTTAAAGTTCCCAGCAGGACTCGGGCTCTGCTGCTATAGAACTCATCTACTGCCAGTGATGTATTCTGGTGCAGATGATCCACAATTCAACTTCATTGATGCGTAGGCGGGCCAAACTCATCATGGTCCAGGCTACCATGCCTACTATGGAGAGTCTGACGATCAGCCACAGCAGCCGGCACCACTAGCATCCTTTTCCAGACCTATTCAAGTTTCTGCTCCATCTCTGACACACTCCCACTTGCCAGTGAACATGATCACAGCAGACAGTCAATTTCTACTAAAGCTTGTATTATAAAAGGCCATCATGATCAGGATTTGGATGTGGGAGATTCAGATGAATGATCTCATTCTTGTCCTTTGTTAGTCTTAGTTTAATGTCTGTTGGGCAAAGCCCTATGGTAGACAGTACATAGTACTTGACTGTAATGTATCTGCTGAGGGTTCATGTGTTTGCTCTAATATTGGTCCAAGTTGTGAAATAAGGTTGATAAATGATGTCTTAAGGTATTTGAGGGAAGTTGGATAGCTTGCTAGTTGACTAGTAGGTTCTGTATTCATTTTCTTTCTCTAGTGGAATGATATCTCCAAAGGTGATAGTGATGCACTTGGTGTTGGCTATGAACTTCAGTAGTGGACCTATACACTTCTTGTTATTGAATAGGTGTTTTAGCTGTTGAGTTTGAGTGCCAAGTTCAGATTTTAGCCTTTGTAGCTGTCTAGCATATATTGGACATGTAAGTAGGTAGTGGTAGAATGGATCTGTAAGGTAAGTGGAAGTACAGATAACTGGAGTACTGGTAGTCAAAGAATTACCAAAAGGAGATAGACACTGTATTAAGGTTATATGAATAGGAAATGAATAGTGGACCAAATGATGGAATAGAACAATATTGTCCACATTATCTAACAATTAGTCTCCTCTTCCCTATCCTCTTCTCCCTGATATCCTTACTATGTAGACAACCAAGATGTATAATCATACCAAGCTTGATGTATAAGTTACTAACAACATGCTGCACTTAGCCTTTGTACAGATACATCAGCACACAGTCAACTGTTTACAATGTTGTCCAGGGTGCAAAATTGTTAAGACATTTAGGTGTTATTTTCACACATGAATGAAGAACAAGAGATGTGGAATGTGGTATACTTCTCATTACTACTGTAAATCAATCTGTAGACTATACCACTGGCAGGCAGATCACTTGTATATTCATATTATAGCATCTCTTAGTACAGAGTACATTTCAAAACATAAAAACATGCTTTAACACACAAGGCAAGTGCAAAAGCTAGCATAAAAAGTATCTCCCAGATCTCAATGTTAAAGGCAATAGTCCCTGGGAACATGGATAGCCTAAAAGACATGGATGGCCAAGACAATCAATCTAAAAAACTAACATCAAGTCAAATATTGCAAGTAATAAAAAGAGACTGACCTCAAGGTGCACTATCAAGCACAGCTGTGAATATTAAACAGCAAGTTAGTATTGTAAAGCAGGTGTAAAAAAAACTTACTTTGCAATATTGTGCACTGGAAAATCACTATAGCATTGCCTTCGACTACTTGCAGCTGCAGTCTGCAAGTGGACAAAGGATAGGCACAGAACAAGTTGAGAATAGTAGCACAATAAGGGGCAAAAATGATAGAGGAGTGAATATAGTTAAAGTGGAGAAATATGACACAGAAATGCTGGACTTTGTGGAAAAAAACCACCAACCAAATGTACATGTGGCATCTGCCAGCAAATTCTGATTTTGGACTTGCACAAATCCACTGACAAACAAGTTAATAATTGGACTTCACTGGTAGATGTCATGTGTATAATTGGGTTGGTTTTGATGTTTTTTAACCTGTCTCTTTTGCTAACTTGTCTCTTTTATCATGTGAGTTTGTTTTGTTTATTTTGTATGGCATTTGTAAGTGTGGTATACTGACTACAGTGTCAGCTTTTCTGCCTGCTCTTTTGTCAATGTGTCCACATCTTTTGATCAATGTGCCTCTTCTGCTAATGCATCTCTTTTATCATATGAGTTTGTCTTGTTAATTTTTGTGTAGTGTAAGTAAGCCTGGTATACTGACTATAGTCTTGGCTTTTCTACCTGCTCTCCCCCATCACTGCCCTTCAATGACCCTCATCAACCATGGCCTACACTAAAATGACCACCAAGAAGTCCAACAGTGGCTCAGCGCCATGTGTCCTCCTTAAGATCTCAAAAACACATGTTTCTGGAGGAGAAGGCCAGCACAAGAAGGTTTGACGACCACCAAGAGTACCTTACCTGTGGCAGGTGGGGACTTGGAAAAGATAAATATTCATAATGAGGTGTGTCTATTTTCTCTGTCCTCTGTTTGCTAATTTACTTAGTCTTTCTTCTGTATAGTTTTGCATTATCTACAGGGATGGTGCAGAGCACTATGAAGAGAATACTCTATTCATATGTGCACTGTGAGCTTCCATGAAGGCTGGCAAAGTGTAAAGTTTGCCTTGAATATTTACTTCATGAGGTAGATGTAGAGGCTTCCATTGCATTTTATAAGGTTCATAATGAAAATGTTTGTTATCCTCAACATTTGCAAGCTTTTCATGAATAACCAAAATGAGAGATCAATGGTAAAGATCTGCTGCAATCAAGTGTCCAGCTCAGCTGTGGTCTGAGAGAAAGGGACTTTGATGGTCACTTTGTACCTAACTGCAAGTTCATCTTGTCCCAGTTACATCACAACCTCCATTGTTAAATGCTGCTGGTACAGGTAACATTATAGTGCCAACAGAAGCATCAGAGCCTAGGAACAGGGAACTATAGGGTTGGTAGAATCATCTGCCTCAATTGTCGCAAATTCTTAATTTAAGCTTCAGTGCCTTTTATGGCATTTCAACATTCAAAGACCAAACAGAAATTGAAAGTGCTTACAATAGCAGAGTCACAATTGTAATCAAATTGGAATGACGGTTGCAATTGAGATGACAACCGCTGTCACAACGCGTGGCAATCTGTCTTAGTCATTGAAATGAGCTGTTTGGCTGGGAGTTGCAACGGGCAATTGCAATGTCAAACAGCAGCTTGCAAGTCAGATTGTAATGTTTATTTGTCAGTTTTAATACATTATTTATATTTTAATATTAATATAATACTAGTAACTCATCTGCGGCGTTAGTATTCCGTCATAATATGGGGGGAAAGCCTGAGGAATTCTGACTTGACGGATTTGATCACTGGGAGGACATGGTTTGAGTTCGAGTAGCACTGGAGGGTGCGGTTGGATGAAGGTAGGGTTCTGGAGGATATGGTTTGTTGTTAGTGGTAGGGTTCACATTCCACATCAATGAAATCATTCACCAATCGACTGAGTGCGAGTCAGCCGCATATCTCTCCCGTTGGCTTCAACTCCACTTAGGCAATGACCCGGTCGAATGTCTGGTAAGATGGACTTATTCGAGTAGTATGCGGCAAGTGGCCATGGCGTTATGAACATGCATGAAGAATGTGAGCAATGAGTTGGCTTGGAATTGAATGGACCACTTACCAATTAAATGACCCGGTCAAATGCCTCTCTGGTAAGATGGAACTGTTCGAGTATGAGCGAGCGGCCATGGTGGCTTGGATGTGCATGTGGAATGTGAGTGATGAGTTGGTTTGAAATTGAATGGACCACTTACCGATGACCCGGTCAAATGCCTCTCTGGTAAGATAGAACTGTATGACGCGACCTTCATCTATGAGATCATCAGGGTCTTCATTTGATATCTTTGTTTCTAGGGTGATTATGTTGCGGTAAGAATGACTTACCGTTGTTTAGTTGATTTTTGCTGCTGGAGGTCTTTGTCGCTAACTTCACATCCTTGTCCTTGAAGAACAATGCGACCTTCATCTATAAGATCATCCCAGGGGTCTTCATTCAATATCTTTGTTTTGTTAAAGGCGGAGGGTCCAAGGAAAAGTTATCATCTACTAATAGCGGATGGTGGTGGGAGCTGCTGTAGTGGTGTTTAAATTGAGTATCAGAACAGTTGTAACATGATTGCTACAGAATTAAAGTCTCTGAAAAAATTTGCAATCTCGTTGTTATGTAAGCATTGTCAGTCACATCTGATTGAAATCAATTGTAATGACATTTTCACGTTCAAATTCAAATGCAATGCACTACACTAAATGGTGGATCACTAACTGTAACGATTTTCTATGGGACTCTTTGGGAACGACCACGACAAATATTGCTATGAGTCGCTACTGCCCTTTTCCCCCTAGTCTTTGCCTTCCCTCGGCCCCTGCCTATTATCTGACCATCAGCTTCGTCTGCCTCAACATTATTACGAGCAGCCACTCGAGATGCTGATTCAGATGCTTCTTCTGCAGGTTGGTTGACGAGACCTGCATTGAGACCTGGACCTTCAGGTAGCGCTAATGATACTGGTGCTGACAAGACTGGTGCTGGGAGCATCAATAAGGCTGGTGGAACCTCATCTGCTTCACTGTCTGATGATATGTCGAGTGCGAGCATAGCGCGATTGATTTCATTTAAAAAGTCTTCACCACCAGCGGGATTGAGGGTGGACAACTTTGCGGCGCCAAAAATGTGGTTGTGGATACTGGCCATAATATTCTTGATGCGCCTCGTGTCCCACTTCGTAATGAGCATCTTCTTGTATTGAAAGAACAGGTCTGTGTAACTGATGGTTGATGATTTCCCCACTCCCGAACCAGGAAATTCTGAGTCAGGTGAGAGCAGAAATATTGCCTGTGTTCAAACATCAGTAGATATATTTGATGCAATATACACGACGTATGATAACTGCCACCCATGTGATAGATCCTGGAGTGACTTGTTGAAAGTTCCACTTCCGAGCATTAGTCTTTGATCTGCCACAAGGCTCTTGATGAAGCAAGGTGATGCCATGCAGTGATGCTCTCAGAATCTAATAGATAGACCATTGTCATAGTAAGTAGCGTACATGATATAACAATTATACAAGCAGCAAATGATAGCGCACCTTGGCGAAAAGTATCCAGTTGCCGAAAACAGTCTTGAGGGTCGTGTCTTCTTGCAGACCTGGGAACAAAAGAGGCGGAAAGATTTTATAAGCCTGTGTCTTGCCAGACACTCCAAGCATCTTTTGGATTTCGACAACACTGGCTCTGTCAAAACTAGGATTGGCAAAGTACTTCGCAGGAAGGTCAAAAATATCTCCAGCAACACCACGTAATTTTTTGATCTCGTTTGAACGAGCATCGCTGATGCACTTATGTACCTACCATAGTTAAAGAATACATTAGATGATAGTTAGAACAAAACAAAATATGTGACGTACAAGGTCTTTGAAGTACACACTCTGTATGGCTCGATGGACGCGTTCTGGGAAATGGCTATAAAGTTCGTCTAAGAAGGCCGATTCCTGAGTTGCAGCAGTCTTGTAACGGTCATGGCTATTGAATGGCGTAGGCGAATCTGGCAGCTTCTTAGTGATAAGTTCGTTGTCTGGAAACATCTCCACTGTCATGCCACATTTACGAGCATACAGTGAGATGGTCTGTTCGTGAGTAACGAGTTCATCAGGTGCCTCAACACGCTGTTTCCGTTTGGGCTTCTCGGCAAGTAGAACCTTGTTCTTCTCCTTAAGAGCGCGATTTTCTGCGCACAGACGCTGAACTTCAAGCTGCAGTGCTTTGACTGCCTAGAGCATATCAAGTTGAATTCAGCCAAACTCGAGGCTCTCGGTGTGCATAGTTAAGATGATAAGTTGTAGCTAGTACGTACCTCCATGAAATATCCCTTGGAGGCGTTGGGCCCTGGAATGGAGATTTGCTCAATGTTGCCCTCATCGAAGTCATCATTGGAGTTGCTGTCCGATATGTGCGCTGAGAGATGAGACATTGTCCTACAAGATGTTCAGTGGCAAGACAGCGAAGGAAGAAATGGTGTGACGCACCTTATATACAAGTTGACATGTTGCCTACCCACATCTTCTTACATCTTCAGGAATGACCATGGTGGCCCGGCATTATAATTAATAGCGGCAAACTGCTGCGGGGCACGTAAACGAGCGCATGACTAGAGGGTGCCCTCGCAAGATATAAACTTTAAAAGGGTGAACCTTAATACATGCGCATCAGAAGGGCTCATCACAAACCAGCTGATAGTCTGATTGCTAATTCAGACCCTTGAGGTAATTAAGAATCCCCCAGGATGATGGATGCTTCGTGCCATGGAAGGTCTGGTTGGTGAGTAATTGAGAATTCCCCAGGACGATGGACCCTCCAGTTCATGGAACATCTGGTTGAAGAATCAAATCATCGCGCCCCATGCAGTCTGAAATCCTGGACTTACCACCGGTCTACTAGAGGTAGGATTGCTGTCATGTATTTTCAGTATCGGGAGGACACGTCTGGTGACTGAGATGGGGTTAGGAGGATGCATCTGGTGGCAACTAAGATGGGGTTGGGAGGATGCGTCTAGTGACGGTGATGACCAGTGACATGGAGTTGGGAGGATGCGTCCAGTGACGGAAATGGCCGGTAACTGAGGTAACAGAGATGGAGTTGGAAGGATGTGTTTGCTGGTGACTAAGATGGGGCCGGGAGGATGCATCTAGTGACGGAGATGAGGAGGATGTGTCTGGTGATTAAGATAGGGTCGGGAGATACAGTGATCTCTGCGTCTTGCAAAAAGGGTGGATTTCAATAATACAGGGCCTGTACAAGCAGTCAATTAAACACATGCAAAGATGAATGTGTTATAATACTTACTAGGCACTGGTTGCCCATGATAGAGTTGTTGATGCTAGTGCTGATGAGTGCTAGGCGATCTTGGGGGTTCTTTGAAGAGAGCTTGATCATCGATGGCAAGAAAGTCTTGAAGGCGTTCATGCATTGAACAGAGTGAAGTCGGTGCTGAGGAAAATGAGGTATATCGTGAGGCAGAGCATGTGGAATGTATATCTAGAGGCGGTGATGATATCATACTTGCCTGGGATTTATGAGGCAAAAGCAGACCGTCAGACCAACGAGTGAAGACAATACTAGTAAGCAGGCATACCGTCTGTAAGGGGAGGAAGACAACGTGTGGCATCAAACACGTACAAGATGCCCTGCCTCAAGATGCAGCACCTTCACATGAAGTGCTACCATCCAGCACTAGGAAAGCTCCCCGGATAATTGACCTTACTGAAAAAAACTCAGCCTGCGCCCGGGGTCTTGCTCAAACACAAAAGATGGAGAGATGCTTGTCTTTTCGGATGCGAACACCAGTGGGAGTATCAAATGGGTGAATAAGGGCAAGGGAGAAGGCTGTATTCTCCAGTGTACATCCAAAAACAAAGAGCAGGCGACCGAATATGATCTTGTCGGTTGTCTGGACGAACACACAGTCAAAGCGTGGAGCACCAAAGAACTTGGGATTACAATGAAGGAAGTCGGTATGTTGGCGCCAATCTACCAATGACTCATAGTTAACCTTTAAGAAACGGCACTCGGTAATCTATCCCTTCATGTCAGTATAGCAGAACGCAACCAAACTGGACAATGATCATCACCTTGTCATCTGCTTTGAGTTGGACCCGCTTTCCGCCTGGTAGAGGGACTTGAATGGCTAGTAAAAGTTAGTTAAAAATTCATTGAGCTTGATACAAAAGTTAGTAAATGCGCTGTCATGTCTGTGAGTGTTCTTGACAGATTCAAAAGTCTGTTGAGCTTGTCTGGATCCAAGCTTTACATGAGGTGAGTCATTCAAAACAACCAAATCATCCACCACAGAATTGTCTTCATCCAGTACATTGTTGGCATCACGCAACTGATACTCATTGAAGTCAGATATGTTCCGGCAAATGCTCTCGGAGACCACTTGCCAATGATTGATGCGAAGAATCTGTACATTCCTGAAGTTGGTGTGCATTTGATATGAATCTTTCAGCGGCCCGTGCATATTCTCGTTTGGCTTCATGTTGCAGTGACATGTAGCTCCTTTAGCTTCGATGTTGTCAAAGATATGCACACTCATGTGCAATTTGGGGAAGTTCCAGTTCTTGTCACTCGTGTCAGCTGTTTTAGCTATATATTGCTATTATAATAAGATTCATTAACGAACAATTTCCAGGGAAAAGTCGAGAAAACACACCTGGAGATAGGTTGAGAACGCTTGAACTGCATGCCGGCCTGCACGGATAGTATCAGCTGTGTGAACCTCGAGTGCTGCATATAAATCGACTTCAAGACAGAGTCAAATACAACAAAGTAAGAGGTAGCCGATTGGACACTCGTCCCCAGTCACAATGATATGTGCAGCATAGATCACCATCTCAGAGAACCATCAGACTCAAGTCGTCAATAAGAACCTATGAAAACATACCTTTGAAATGTCTTCATACACACTACTATCCGCAAATGAAATGCTCATGACTTGCGATAGATGTTTGAGATTTCACCACTGTGGAAACGCCTTGTAGCTAGTAACATGAAATCAAAAAAGTCCGTTAAATTGCAAGTTATAGACTTACTTGTGGTCCATCTGCGCTACACTTGCTCTCCCAAGACTAGTGATCAATCTCTGCAGTTCGGCCCACAAATGATCGCGGTACAGGCCACCATTGAAATGGAGCCTATCCCACGAGAGTGTGTAATGTACACAAGTAAGCCTGACAATCCAAAAAGCGTTCTAACATGCTTGGGTTAGTAATAAAACACCACTGGTATAGATAACAGAATTTTACCTGGACATCACGAAGTCCATATTGTTTGAGTGTATCATCTCTCTCTTCAGCGGTCTGCTTGCCCCGCGCAACCTGCAAGATGTTCTGTAACTGATCGGATGTTCGACGAGGATAGGTCTTCAAAGCATCCAAAAGGTTGTCATGGGGAACGAGACAAACTGGGCATGGCCACAGGGACTTAATCCCTCGAGTGAGCGACATAACACATCTAACACATTGACAAGTAGTCAATTATTTATATGTACAGATAATAATTTGAAACGAATACACTGACTGTTCGTAATCGGCCGACAAGATTAATATTGAAGGAAAGAACCAGCGTTGGATGCTGTCAAGACATTCAAACCATTGACCTGTACTAGATTTCGATGCTAGCGGTGAGAGAATCTTCAAGAACACCTTGTGCCAAACAGCATTCTTGAAATTGACCCAGCTTGGCTTGCCAGCATGGTCCTTCTCGTCCTTCACCTAGAACTACAATCAGTGCTAACCGCTAACTAAGAAAACACTCCATACAATAGGAAGCCACCCAACAACATTGCTGCCACCCATACCTTGACCGTTGCGAATGTCGGTGGGAAGATTCGCAAGGCGTGCAATGACGGGGTAACCTCTTGCGGTACCAAACAAGGACAACTTAGTCTTGTCCGCATACAGAATAAAAGCCAGAGGTTTGGCGCCCTCTGGTAGCTGAGACTACGAGGTAAAAGGATAGATCAATTCATGAATACAAGAAATCACTATAGTGGTATTACATACTTGAACATTCCAAAAAGGTTCATCCACAAAGGTTACAAATGTCTTGCCATCAAATTTTGAGAAGCGCTGCGCATCAAATACCATGTGTGGAAAGAGCTGAGGATCACGAAGGAGATCGGTAGTCCACTCCCAGAGATTGCGGTAGTGTAGATCAAACTCTCGTACAGTACCGTCATATGGTACTGAAATCATGTCTTGAGTAAACTAAACTTGAGTGTTGTCAGAAGCTAAAGATCAGAGAAATGAAGAAATAACCCCCGTGAGGCGATGGGAAGCAGTCTCCCACCTGTCGTGAATGTCCTTGTGGGTCTGGAATGTGAACTTCTCCTGTCGGGAAGTGCACCGGTTGCAAAGTCGTATGAGCCGATCAGTCTGCTCGTTGTTCAAACAAGCCTCCAGGGCAAGTTCAGCAAGTTCAAACTCTAGTCGCGACTTGAATGGCGCCCAGGGGTGCTTGTTAGGCGGGATAGATGCCAGTGGGGTTGGATGCCGTTTGAAGTCCTCAAAAGCATGGACCTCAGGTGGGATCCCACTGCTTGGATGATACTCACACCTAATGTCATCAACCCGAAATCTGGGAGTGCTTGCATGTTCAGAGACATCAGTATCAGCAAAGTGATCTGTCAACAGTGAGTCGTGAATTATAATACATAACAATTGTTATTAAGATTCTGACTTACTGTCAATATACCCCATGCCATCATCCATCTCGTTTCCCATAAATTCATCGGCACGCTCTGAATCGTTGACGCTTGCGTATGATCGATGTCTCACTGAATTTGAAGGGCCTATGAGTCAATTTAAATACAAAAACTTAGACTAATAGACAACTGAATTGAACTTGGACATACCTGCTTCTGCCTCTAGATCTTCCCTTTGAATGGATTCCGCAACAAGCTGATTTTGACGCTGCTTCTCGGCCTTCTTCTCACAGGCCTTGCAATGAGTGGTCCACCCACGTGGTTTGAGGTCTTGTTTGCACAGATTGCAGAATTTTGTGTGTTCGGGGGCCATGTCCTGGATAGATGTGCAATATATAAGTATGGGCAAGGGAGGGAAACTGTTGAGAACACGATCAAAGGCGAGTTGTAGGATATCCATAATGTTGTAACCGCATTGTAATCGATTGAAACTCCGCTATAATGATTACATGAAGGTTGATAATGTCATTGTAATGCAATTGTAATGTGATACAAACGGTTCCTGATTACAATCAATTTCGGAAATTTGCGACAATGAATATAACCTTGGAGAATGTCCTTCCTTCTCCTTTTCCTGTATCTACTTTCTGCACTTAGTGACTTTCTCAAGGAACAACTTGGTACATCTGATGATATCTTATTTTTATTGTTATGGAGATGGAAGCTTCATCACAAATTCCCAAAACATCAGACTTGTTAGTGCCTACATTGGACTTCATCCTATACCTTCAGACTTGACCCTTCTACTATTAGGGTCAAACACTCTTGCTTACCTTGACAGCTAGGTAGAGCTTTGACTCACTTATACTAGTTGAGTACTTTTACCAAGTACCTAACTGGGTTGTAAATTTCACATTGGTCTTGTGAATAATCTTCATTTGCAGAAGACTGAGCATTACCTTCACTCTCTTTTGTCCTGGCTCTAACCATATAAATCTTTCTTTGAGCTAGATGCTTCGAAGCAAATGAGCATACAGATTTCAACATGGTATGGAGTGTTAACAAGGCAAAACAAAGTGTTTCAGTAGGTAGTCATTTATGAGACCTCTCCTTCTTATCTGGTAGAGTGTCAGCCACTGGGCATTGCTATTGATAGCTGTGGGACAGTGTCGTAAATTGATCTCACAATGATATAGAGAGAGGAAGAAAACAATTGTGGGATATACAAATGCCATATGGATTCTGGAAGGAAATATCTGTCATATGAAAGTTGTTAGAGTGGATACACAACAAAGGGGAGAAACATATGCCCACTCTGTAAGAATTCAAAGAAAGTGACAAATTAGTGTACTCTTACTCCAGCATGCTCCATCTCAGTGAGAAGCACTGACATGCCATACCTGTTTTTTTTGAGCTTTTGGCTCTAGATCATTATGGTAAAAATCTGCTAGCTGCTTGAGAGGCAGAATTGAGAGGGAGCTTGGGCAAATTCTTGGTTGGATCTACTATCAGTGGTCATGACCAGGGCTTCTGATTGGGTATCCCCACTCTTATTATCTGTAATCAAGCTAGGAGCTGACAGAGACTTTGGTTTACATCATGCTTCCTCCCCCAAGCCGCTCTAGGGTACCTAGTAAGCTGTAATATTTTAAGGTGGTTTTGTCAAACAGCTGGTAATAGAACTCCTCCTTGAGTTTCAATTAGGTGTTCCCATTCTGACTGGAAGATGTGAAATGATGATTGTCTACATGGTAGAGTCTTTGTTGGTAGAGTTTACAATTTTTTCTTCTGATATCTTCCCAAAAGGCACACCCATTACCTTGCTACCTTGAGCTTTACCTCCTCTGTTATTAGGGAGGGATAGCTTTTGAAGTCTTTGCATCTGTATCTAGTCTGACTGATACATTACTAGGTATTGGATGATTCCAACTTTTGGGTGTGGTACTATTTAGCAGTTCCACAGTAATGTATTCCTTATGAAGAAACTTGCCACAAGAGACTCTGAAGATCTCCTTCAGGTATGTCAAATTTGACACTTGTAAACTATGCTATCATATAATTATGCAGTGTGCCCTCTATGTATTTGAGGATCTTCTGCCCAAAGAGCATTACTCAATTATCCTCAACCTTCTCTTTGACCTAGCTGTATGGCATGGATGTGCAAAACTCTGATTGCATAATGATGACACTAGCTTTTTGATGCTGTGACCATGGTCCTGTGTCAATACATTGGAAGACCTAGCTATCATGTGAGTGGAGATTTTGGTATGTCTTCTTACCTGCTCACCCACTCCCTCCATAGGTATCCTGCACTTAAATATGAGTTGGGAGTTGTTTTAGTATCAACACACTCAACATACCTGATTCAGTGCAGGAGCTGGGTTTAACCGGCTGCCATTGGGGTGGACCTGGATTGTGATAATCACATTGGGTTGGCTGCCGTTCTGGTGACTCAGGTTGTGAGCAGGATGGGGCTGAGAGTTCATGCTTTAAGTGATTTGTAGATGGCTGCTGTGTGGTTGATAGAAAAGGTATCACATCGCCCTCTAACATCTTAGTGTGTATACACAGTATATTGCTAGCTAGGAATGTTGTATTGATACCCAGCTGGTTCAGTTCATGGTGTATCTCATTCACTCTGTAAACTCCTTGTAGCCCTAGGAGACTATTCCACCATGTATTTTGCCTACAATTTCACATCATTAAAACCTATACCTGGAACATCCCACTGGTGCACCTACTACAATCAACAGGGAAAGACCTGCCACTCAGTATGACATCTAGCATGTGTTCTTTCTGGGCATTCAGGAACTGGCACATTAAACGATTGCTGAGTTGATGTAATGCACAAAGCTCTTTAATACAAACAAACCACTACTCATTGATATCCTTACTTGGCCTGAGTGCAGTCCTTCAGACTTCATCAGACCATCATTGGACTTCATTCAAAATGAGGGGCACATACTTGGGTAAGGGGCACAGCACACAAGCTGAGGTCAAGCCCCTTGGACATCAGTTCCAGTTAGAACCCACAAGTTGTTGAGTGAGGCTGAGATTATGGGACAAACATAAATAGAGGCTGCACCCATGCTCTACTTCCAAGGCTTCTACTTCTCAGAACCTTCCTAGTAAGGTAAAGTGCTTCTGCTGGCCTCTGAACATCCTGTGCGCCAACTCGAAACTTTGAATGGGTCATGTAGATTTATATAAACTACAACAAGAAAGATAGCATGTAGGTTACCACTGATCAGCATTACTAATCTGATCATCTTCGTTATTGGAGAAATCCCACACAACAAGACCGTCGTGATCGAGCCCTACGAGGTTGACATCTCCATCAACAGAGACATCAGGCTCGTCCTCTTCAACGAGGCTCCCCAATTGTCAATGGTGCACTGTATCTAACATGAGAATGTCAGTTGAAAAGGAACCTTGAGAGTAAGGATGGATGTTATACCCAGCCCCAACCCACCACCAACACTATCCATGTATTACCCACCCTCGTTGATCCATGCTGAGCCACAGTCAACAATGGGACAGCCCATTTGTTCATAGCACTGTTGGATATAATTGTTCAGGTTGGCAGGTACAAGGTCGAAGACAGTGTGGCTTGGATTAATGTAGACTCCTCGAACATGGTCAATCACATCTCCCAAGTCCATAACATTCAGTGTCAAAATGTTTCCACAAACCATCCATGATCTGCTTGCCTGTTTGACGTGTCTTCCATAACTGAAGGATATGAGGTGCGATCTCATCAAGCGGCGCTAGGGTCGATTCTCAACAGCAAAATCTGAAATGATCAAAAAGAGATAGTGCACACTTAGAGCGGTCAAATGTAAACAAACAAGCCATACCAAAATGAGACAAACTTTGACTTCGTTGCATAGTGACAGTCACAAACTCGTAGTATTGTACATACATAAAAACAAAAATGAGCAGTAAAGAACAAGGTAACACATAGTATTGTGATCAGCTTCTGTATAAATGGACACCTGGTTTCTTTGTCTGTGAGGGAGACATAGAACTTTAGGAAATGCTCATTGTCCTTCTCACCAAGAACCATTATCAATACAGCCTGCTGCTCGGGAGGCATGTTGACATCCTCAGTCTGTAATAGCTGTGTGGCATGCACCACCAAGTCCATATTACCCTCAGGCACAGGCCCAGGTGGAGGCAGAGTGTAAGCTGCATGCTGCCTGCCATGCTGCCTGTCATGGAGCTAACAATGAATCTTTCAAAGACATCAGCCAAGCGGTTGATAGTGCCCTGCATTCCCATTGCAGCAGCAGGCATGATCTTGGCAGCCTGTGTTGCACTGCTCATTTTCACCACATTACTCATCTTCTGAGAGATATGTGTGCTGGCCTGTGAAGGTGCTTTCTTTGCAGGGAGAGACACAAAGGTGGTGGAGACTGGCTGAACTGAATCATGGGTTGATGTGAATGACCTGGTCTTGACAGAATTGATAGTGGTGCCCTCATAAGGGCGCTTGGCACTGGCAGAGCTGAGTAAAAGAAGGACCAGCCATAGAGGAAGGATGAGAGATAGAGGAAGGACCAGCAGAAGACAGGGCTGGAGCCTAAGCAGGGCCAGGCTTGTCCTCATCACCATCTGGTACTGGTGGAGGACCCATAACACCTGGGTGGAAGGCATAGCGCCCTCTAGCGCCACCCAAGGGTATTATTTCCTGCATTTTTCAAAGCCAGTCCAGCCTATGTTGTGGAGTGGATGCATATGATATTGGACTAGTGTATGTTAGCTTTTATTAAAAAAATAGCGGGGCTGACATACACTGAGTGCAACATATGAATCTCACACAGCAGATGCTGCAGGGCCATGGATCCCAGCTCTAATGGCACTGTCCCAATGTGTACCGGTCTGGTCGCAGTATTTATTGATAGCATGGTGTATGGACTTGAGCTAAAACATTCAATCAGTAAACTGATTGAAGGGACGGACTTGGATGGATGCACTGATGCCCTCTTGCTCTTCACCATCTTGATGGTCTTTGTTGGCCTGATCCACAAGTGTAGACCTGCAGCTTGAAGTTGCCAGAGCCATCACCACTTGTGTGATTGTCCTAGATTGATCTCCTCATTTATCCAGTGTGCAGGCGGCCTTGTAGGAATTTTGTGGCCTTCAGGTTGAGCCATGATCAGATTTCTGTACAGATTGCAGTGATTGCAATGCCACTAGCAATGAGTGTATTGTGCTGTGGTATATTGAGAGAGTAAGAGATATCCATTGATTAGTATGTACAGTAGGAGACAAGGAAGGTTTAAGCTCCAACCAACATTCTGGACAATGCTGACAAAATTGCATGTTCAATATTTCAGAAGCCAGCCAAATACCTGGATCCGAACATGCTAGTTTTAAAATTTGTATCAGCAAACTTTGCAGTCACATATGATCTGAGTCATAGCAGATAGTTTGACAAGTGTAGCAATATTTTATTGACAGTTATCAATTTATAACTATAATCTCTGTGTTATCGATAGTAAGTATAGAGTTTCTTCTCTCAATAAAGAGATACTTTGTCCACGGCGCAGATGGATGTGGCAAGACATGTCTTTGTAAGGATTCTTAAAGATTGTTTTAAGGACAAGCATACACTACGTGAAAGGAATTATAAGTGGCAGCAGGCTGCTTAGAAAAATCATGAGTAGTTTCACAACATCATACAGCCAACATATCAGATGGAAGTAGTGATAACTGTAGCATCATGATTGTCAGTTGGCTGATCCACATAGCAAAGACTAGACATCTCCCATGTCAGTAATGTATGTTCTCTGTTTGTTCATATATATACTATGCATATTGCTAAGTACCATGATCTGCTTAGAGCACTTTTATACAAGCATCACTGTTCTTGTCCCTTTATGTGTTTCTTTGCCTGTGTATTATAAATGGACTAGCCTAAATATACTATTGGTTATTAAGGTGATGTCACAGGGGACATAAGTAACTAATGTTGACACTCATAGTGGGATTGTAGACTGTGAACAGTGCTTTACCAGTGACAGTGTTCGACCATAAGTTGAGAAGGAGAAGCGCATGGACAAATTTTCAGTGCAGAGTGATTATAGAGTACTGTAGAGTATTAGTGCAAAATGTTGAGTGCTGGGAGTGTGTTGAAAAGAGGCATAGACTCACCTTTGCCTCATCCACACAGTCCACCCAGAAGGATAATTGGGGCCATGACTTCAGAACAGGAGCTGCAGGCAGCGAGATTTTTCATGTGGGGTAATGGTAGAATGCTATAGAGTAGGATGACAGAAGGATAAGTGCATGGAGTGAATGAGAGTGGTGGGTGGTGAGGTTGTGGTGAGGGGTGATCATAGAACACTGTAGAGTAGGAGACTAGAATGATGAGATGAGGGAGTTTGCAAGAAGGGAGATACAGCAGTGAGAGAGAGAGATGGCAGGAAGAGAAAACAGCAGAAAGGAAGAGATGACAGGAAGAAACAGATGGCAGGCAAGGAGACACTGCAGTGAGAGAGTGACAGTAGGAATACATGGCCAGCAGGATAGGACAGACACTGGCAAGAGAGAGATGGCGGGAAGGAAGAGACAGTGAGAAGAGAATGTCCATCGAGATGGAAAAACTCGTTAAGTCCACCTATGTGGAACTGTTAAACTTCAAGTTCTGCAATGTTACAGATAATATGTGGAACACCAATTTGACTCTGTAATATGTCACAAATACAACCGAACATACCACAACTGTATATGGCTTATCACTAAACCTTCATTCATCCATCACACATCTCAACCTTATCGAACACACCAGTTTCCTACCTTGTCATATTTAGTTGATTTATATGGCACCTCTTAAACAACCACACAGACCATTCAACCAGATGCCATCAATGAAGGGCAGGTGCCTCTGACTCATGTCCAATCAGATGAAGTAAAAGAGAGCAGTTAGAGCTGACTCTTGCTAAGGTGGAGGAGGTAATCAATCCTCATGATATTTTTCAGACCACAAAGTGGGAGACCACCAAGGAAGAGATAAGTATAGTGGCGCTTAGAATCAAGACTGAGGGAGATTAATAGATTACTAGAAATTTGCCTTTCTATTTTTCTTCAATCTTTATATTAGGTTATCCATTAGGGAGCTGCATAATGCAGAATCCAGCCAATTTGTTGTTGACACTGTGCATTCATCCACCATTGAATTAACAGTGATGTCGAAATTTTTCACTACAAAGTACCACAGATCCATGTCATGAGTAAACACAATGGGTGATAGTCAGCCTGACATATATTGCATACCACAAGAACATCCGCACTGTCATGGTTTAATAGATCACACCAGTACTTTACTACCTTTGCCTTGTCCATGAACACATGGTTGAATGGCCAGGCTCCCTTGGCATAAGCAACAATGTGTTCATTAAGTTTTATGAGAGCAATGCCAGCATTGAGGTCATGTATTGTGCTGTCCTTAGATCTGACGGAGCCTTGTTGATAGTTTTATTAAAACAATAATTACAAAGATGGAAAATCTTCTCAAGGACAGTGACAGGTAGCTTCACCATGTTTTTTTTGCTGACTTCTTCATATATGTTGGCAGCATTCGAAAATGATGGCTCCAGGTACTTGATTGCCTTGGTGGGCCTCTGCTGTATCAGGCATGAATGACTTGCAACTTGACATCCTAGTGATGAAGTTGGTATCAGTGACTGTCAATGATTTTACACAAGTCCATATTGTACCAGGACTATTATGGCTTCATTTCCACATGACACACCAGAGAAGTACATGGTTCCTAGACATGTTTTCCTGATGGAGACCAAAGTGCAAGTCACCTTGAATGTTTCGCAGGTAATTTTATGTTAAGATGGGAATGAAGTGGGCCGCTTCTAGAGGCTAATAAGTGACCAGATATGATCAGGACTAGAGTCCAGAGTAAGTTGCCAATGTATTGGAGTATAGTAAGAGTATACAGTACCTAGAGTCCAGAGTAAGTTGACAGAGAGGAAGCACTGGACTCTAGGGTATGGGCGATGTTTGGTAAACAAACATAAACAGACAAGCCACAATCCAAAGGTAAGAAATAACTCGACCTAGGGATGTCCTAGGGAGGTCAGGAAGTCATGTAGATAGTCAGAGAAATGAGAGGAATGATACTGTAAGTATATATAGAGATAAAACACATAGGAAAGCGTACTGTAGAGGTGAATAATTATACAACCAACATTTTAGGTGTGAATTCACATGCATTGATTTTTCGAAGAATTTGATCACACAGCATGTTGTTCTTGATAGGGAGTTGGAAGAAGGAGATTGTGCAGATGTCCTTCACAAGCAAGTTCATTTGGGCATGGATCTAGTGTGTTCAAGATCCATGAACATTTCTTTTAAACTTTCTCATTGCTGAGTGTGATGTAGTGACTTGGCCTGCTAGCTGTATAAACAATTGGCTGATACAGAGACAACGTGCAGATTTGAACATGTCAGAAGCATTTCAATTAAGAAAATTGTGAGTGGGAAACACACACTACGCAAGGTGCAGAACACGCAAATAATAAATGTGTAGGTGTTACACTGTATGAAAGGGTGAGAGCTAAAGTAGCGCAAGCCTCAGTCAATGATAAAGGAGACTGAGGTGCAATGACAGAGCCCATAGGTGACATGCAGTAACAGCCATGGTATATTGAAGTGGCACCAGTAATTTTTGTGTGGTGTCTCTTGATCATGACTTCAATTCATCACTCTCCAAAGTTTTGTTGTAACACCAGCATACCACTCAACTCTGATGTATAATTACTATGCCATAAATGTTCCATTTATTCACTAGGCTAAAAGACAAAGAATAAATACACAACTTGAACACCTGTAGAACAAGGTTGCTGCTGGTGAAGCTTGGCCTTTTTCTAGTACAGTATTTTTACTAGCAATGGATATAACTTAGAATGAGATAACTGTTATTGTTGCCATGGGTTTGGGTAGACAACTCTGCAGCTGCAAAGAATTTGTATAGCCCATTTGCAATTCCTTGAATTTCAGCTTGAATGTGCGACTCTTAACTCTGACTATGGAAAGATCAAAAAGATCAATGGGATATGCATTTTGAGTTGGAAGTGGTATTACTTTGCTTTGGAGAAGCCAGGTCACTTGTGCAAGATGGCTTTCAGCAGCTGCTGAGTTTTTATACCAGGCATCCTAGGACACTAGATAATCTATCTTGTAGCCAGAGGGTTCAATGCTTCTGCCTTTGCTAACTACTTTAAATTCTTAGGGAGGGCTGCTGAGCAGGCAGCTTCTTGCAGTGAAGGTGGCCACAGTAGAATAATCGAGGATCTGTCATTGATCCAGCCAGTGATTCCATGGACTGCTCTGCTGAATTGGCTGAGAGTCAGATTTCCAATTCAGATGTGTCCACTTCAACATGAATTACCTACACTGGGCAACTGAGTAGTTACCACTTTTCCCTCTGGAGCAATGATGGCTTTGACAACCTACCTGACCTTAGCTGCCATCCGGCTTCATGTCTTTGACCTATTTAATACAAATAAAAAGAAAGATCCAAACAGAAAGTACTGCTCATTGACATTGCCTCCAGTTATACTCACCTGATTCAAGTGTGTTACAATAACATGTTCAAAGGTTGGCCCAATGTCCAAGGAATGTTGACAGCATGATTGCTTCCAAGACACATTACCAAGCAAAGATAAGCTGTAATACTAATTGTATTGACGGCCAGCCTGAGTGGCTTGTGGGTGGATATTGAGTCTGGGATGTTCTGGCTGATGGTTAAGGGAAATGTTCGGTTGTTGGCAAGCTGTCAGTGCATCACTAGACATCAATAAATGATGCTCACAGTAATGTATCATTTTCACTGAGATGTTTGTTGGCTGATATGCAGCAACCAAGGGTGACTGTGAATGCTGGCACTAACCAGGTGTGATTCAAAATACTAACAGTTAATACAAGGTAGCAAGATAATTCTATAATAATCAGAGTGTGTCTGTAATACAAGCCCTTAGAGCCCTCAAGTTGGATTTTAACTTCCAGCATTCTTCCTCCACCTGCTAGCATGTCTCATATATGTTTATTAAACTCTATTCAACTCAGCCTACCTTTTCCTGAAGTTTGTCAACTTCATTGACATTGAGCTTCCTTCTCTTCCTGAGAGGCTCCACCCAGTTGGTCAGCATCTTTTCTAAGATTTCAAAGCCATCTGAGGAGTCAGAAGACTTATATTCATTGTTGGACATGCTCAGTGTCTTTGGCCACTGTGTAATTTTCCACTGAAATATATGAATGATACATGATACATGATTCTCCCACCCAAGCCCCAGACTTTACCCATAGTTGTGCGATACTGGCAGCCAGGGAATTGTCAGCACCATGCTCTTATGACTGCCTGAAGCTACTGTTGTGGGCCTACACATGACATTAAAGCATGAAAGACAATATCTATAGAAAAGATAGTCTTACTCTGCATGAAGGAACAATGGCGGCAGCATTCTTTACAGGCAGCTTTGGCTGGACTTCCAAGGCATAGATTATTGTCATTCAAGCAGGAGATACATGCAGGGTTTCTCAACTTTGGTATAGAGACTGATGCCATAGTTGAGGGATGAGATGAGTGATTGATAGTTGTAGTTTTGGATGAAGATGGATCATGTTGTGAGAATCTTTTATAGTTAATTGATTGGGACTTAGTCATTCCCAATGGTGTGGACTTAGTGGCCCAGCCTGAATGGGTGGGACTTGTAGCCATTTCAGATGACAACATTTGTGGTGACAAGGGCAATGACATGTCAAGTCCATACTATGTTAGTGCAATAAGAAGTTTATGCCTCAGTAAAACCAACTTCTGTGTCTAGTACTTTTACTACATTTCAAGCAAGGAGCTGGAAAAGCTTCTGTCAGTCAAGAACACTGCAGAATTGGCTTAAAAACAAGAGAAAAAGGTGTAAGTTGATTTTCTGATAGAAACATATGGCTAAATATTTTTTTGTAGTTACTGGAAAGCATACAGCTGCCATGCTTGAGAAAGAGGTGGTGGAAAGTGAGGAGAAACTAGACACTTCTGAAGATGATGATAGTCCTCTACTGCATTAAGCGTAGCAATCACTTGTATAGTCCTTCCTCCTTTATAGTTAGTCCCTTCAAAAAACCGCATTTGCAACATCTTCACATCAAAAGGTCAATATCATTTCTAATTTACTGACTCATAATAGTGTTTTCTCAGAGGAAGAAGGCAGTGATAATACTAGGATAGTAGAAAATGAGGATAGGAATGAGTCTTTGCTATCAGTAGTACAATCTGAAGATGAATAGGACACCTGATGTCATTGTTCTGTCTTCATATAACACAAGTACCAGTCTCAATGAAATTGATTCATCATCAAGGTCCAAAAGAAAGCTTTCCAAAGAACTCATTCCCATGCACTATATGCAAACTTCTAGAAATATCCTTTTCCTCTAATGAAGGATCAATAATTCCAAATGTACCAGGATATCCAAGAGTTCAGCTTGGCACAGGAGATATTGGGGTTGAAGTGGATAGGTGTTTTCAATTAGAGTTTTGATCCCGCCACTATGTGAAGTTGGAAAATTGAATTGCACAAGTGGGCAATTGTCACTCTGCTAACAAAACACACATTAGAAAGGACTATTATTGTATGTCTCTCTTATGTTTCTCTATATGCAGATCCAGGAAATAATCCCAGAACCAGAAGAGTGAAATGACATAGAATGGTGGGGCATCCACCTGAATCCAGAGTTTCAGAATGGGGTCAGCCAAACGGTTGTTAGCCCTGCCCCTATCTAAAATATCAACTTCTGGAGGCTGATTCAAGGGCTGCCCCGCTGCATCAGTGCAGAACACAGAGCCAATGTGTTGTCCTGTGCAGACTATGACAAGTCTAGCAATGGTGACATGGTTTGGTTGAGTAATTACACTCGGCTTCGTCCTATGTTCTTGGTTGAGAAGGAACCAATAAACATAATCACAGGAGAAAAAATGACATTGAATAAAGCTTCTGCTACTATATAAACTACAGTCAATTAGGGCACAAATAGCTAGGAATAGAATAGATCTGCATCATCCTTCCTTAGCTGTGGATTTGCAGGAGCTATCATGGGATCCACACCGCATGCGCGACAGAAATCATGATGTTATGCACCTCATTAAATTAGAGTTCGCGCGTCATGGGTGGAGCAAAGATTATAACTTGATGATATAGTTATAGTGCTGCAGCTGTTCAGTATCAGTACTGATTACATAATTGATTACTGGTCAATTGAATATATATTGATGAATGATTAGTGTTTCTTTATCGTATGATAATGATCATATACTATCTGTATAGTCAGATTAATACAGGGTGTGATCAGATTAACATGAGGCATAGTCAGGCTACATGGAGTATAGTCAGATTAACAAGGGGCATGGAGGGCATAGTCTGACTGTCAGCAGGTCTAATGGGACATAGTCAGATTAACACAGGCCATGTTATAGTCAGACTTATGTGGGCCATAGTTAAACTAATGCACTGGGTGAGTCTAACTATGCCCTCCATTAGTCTGACTATGCCCCATGTTAGTCTGACCTTTCATGTGATATTTTGAATATATTTAACATTGCTATCACATCTTATCTTTAATATGGTTAGAATATCTTTTACTCATCATTTTGAATATATATTGGCATTTCTTAGAAAGTACTGGTTTTCTACAAACACCTTCCCAAAGCTTTGCAATTCTTGCTGAAGCCTTTCAATTGAGCCTGGATGGTAGCCTTTTTACTACCAGTGTTGAGTCCAAATTAGCAGCAACACTCTTGTAGGACTTTAACTAATAATTTCATGCTAAACATAAGTGTTAGTAAGCATTATGTTCATGCAGATCAATTCTGTGTGATCTTACATTGACAAATACTTAACTGGGAATTCTGTATCTGCAGGTACAGTACTAAACTATGCTAGGAAAGGCAACTTGATGTCTCCATCCAGGCCATCACTGCCAAACATGGTCATAGTAGACTGTGGGTGTAGTCTGGATGTTTGGCTGGCTAGGGCCTGGGTGTTATCTTCCACAGCCCAGTGAAAGTGGATCATACTTTCCTCCCTGGCAGTTTCAGTCATAATCAATGATAGAGTTCTGTTTCTTGATGCTTCCTGTCAGCCTTGGCTCATCCAAGTCTGCATATTGTGCTTGAAGTTGCAATAGGCAAAGATCACAAACTCACAGGTTTGTTTCAAGCATTTCAATTTTTAAGTGCATCTAATTGACTCCATTCAAGGCATACTTGTCAGACTCTGAAAAGGCATTGTGCTCTCTCACTTCATTCTCAATTGAAATCCAAAAACCCATACCTCACCCTTGCTACTATGTGCAATTGACATTTATGAGTGGCAAAAAATAAAAAATACCTAATTCAGTATGGTGTAATTTTGAGAGCTGAGAAAGAGAAAATTACTTATGAGAGTAGGGAGATAAGACATATTGCAAGTTCAGTGAGATGGGGAGGATCAAAGGCTGAATTTGAGGAGACATTATGATAAGACTATGTTTTGATGTCCATTGAACTGTCTTAGCACTTGTCAGAGCCTTTTTGTTGCCTACAGGGTCTAGTTCTGAGTAGGACACACCTAAATTTTGTGGAGAAACTGTTTATTCTACCAGTAGTTTCCTGCATGAAAAAAGACAATTCAAGGAGGCATTACAAGCCTAGTCTATGATCAGGACCACACAAAGGCCAACATATACTTTATCACTATCAAGGATGAGACCCCATTTAGTTGACAGTTTCATGTAGTTTTGATTATGCATTTAAAACTACTTCCATTTACCTGCAACTACATTGCCCTTTTTCCCCCAGCCTCTGCAAGACAAAATATACTCTCTCTTTTGTCTTATCTCCCACAAGCAAGCATACATGCACACACACACCAATTTGCACTAGTATCACTTTCAATATATTTCTACTATGTCATCCATAGTATAGATATCATAGTGGAAACATCAGTTAGCACAATCTGAGGCTATGTACAAAGTATATGGAAAGCTTATTAGTAAGTGCAAAGATCATAGTAAAATAAAATTGAAAATGAGAGCAGAGAATGTCTCATTAAGCAGAGTGGAAAGGAATATAACTAGAGAGCTGGATGTCTAAATGAAGATGGAAACAAGATTAAATTTGGGTCCAGAAATGAAGCAGGGACCTAATCCAGAGATTGGGTGGAGATGGAATCAGAAATCCAAAGATTCACAAATTACAGAGCAGAGATCAGAGTTCAGAATGTTGAATATGACAGTCTTGCTCAATGAGCACAAGAGCCTATGAAATTATTGTATAAAGTTGGACACTATAAATAAGCTAAACAGGCCAAACCGAGTATGGTAACTCAGATAATAACTCTCCAATACCAATAACATTGATAATAAGCCATTTGCTCCTAGTGATAATAAGATTTTTGCTTCTGCTTGCAATGACTTTCATACTGTGCCTCCAATATTGTCCCTGACTTATCATGCCTGCAGTTTTTGCATATGTGCTTTGGGTGTCTTGGAAGTCTATATAAACAGCAGGTTGAACAGATCCAAAGAAGGCTTATCACCATAAGCTTCCTAAATTGTTGTTAGTTATATTTTTTATTCAGCTCTGAAGAATATTCTTATTGAAAGACAGTGGTATCCCTTTATGACACTTTGTGAGGACATGCACTTTCTTTCCACGATTACTTGTTCAGATATCAGAGTCCTTAACCTGCTCTGGAATGCAACTTATAGCTTTGCTATGCAAAGGTATCCATATGACTGACTATGACCAGTGTCTCAAGAAGCACTGATGAGTAGCTGCAACCACTGCCATACCTCATCTATGCCTACAAGCATATATGGAAATTTGTCTTTGATACCATGAGTTTAAACTCTAAGTAGTTTATGAATATACATAGAAGCTTATATGGGCTGGTTAGGTGGAGTTTGCTAACAATATTCAGGTGCCCTGCTTGGCTCTGAGTGATTATCCTATGTCTCTCTTGCACCTATATTAGTTTTCCTACTATATAATTAAAAATGTGGAGTTAAACATACTTTTGATACACATTGTGTATCAGTCTATTGGGCAACCACAGCCTTGCAGTTACTCTTTTGTCTAATCTTACCTTCCTAACATCCACCCAGTTGTGCAAAAACCCACAATTTAATATACTCATCTAGTTCTTAGCTTTTCAGTGTCTTTCCCTTAGGATAGACTTGAGAGTTTTCACTACATCATCAACTTGACCGTCTAATCTTCGATCTTAACCCCTGCTAATATCTAGGCAAGTCTAAGACCACATTAGTAAATTCACACATTCCTTGATCACACTTGCTTCATAAATTAAGACTTACTTCCACCTTAATTTCACTTATTTTGCTTTATTAATGGTCTTTATTGTAACATGTGTAGTGTCTCAATTAGTATACATGTATCAACTTTTATTCTTGTCTCCTTTGCCCCACATCCTATATTACACATCAGCATTGTTGGTTTATGCATGGGTCTGTGAACTCCTTACAGGCCACCCAGACTGCATCAAAAATAATCTTGGTGTCAACCTAGAGGTGTTTGAAGCATTGGTGCAAGTTCTCAAGATCAACGGCTTTACATATTCTCACAATGGTGTATCTGTGGAGGAACAGCTTGCTATATTCCTATACACCTGTGTTACAGGACTTTCAACTTGCCGTCTAGGTGAACAATTCCAGTGTTCACCCGATACAATTTCAAGGTAATTCTCCTATGATTCATTTTATTGTGGATATCTGATGTTGTGTCAGATACTTTAGGCGCTTGCTTGTTTTGTTTTCTGGAAATGAATTCTATGATACCCAAGTCTGGTTCCCCACTAGTGAAACACCCATCTCTTCAACCATATACAATGACCTGCACTACTGCTTCTTTCATGACTATATCAGCACTATTGATGGTACTCATATTCAGGTATTCTCAGCAGACAAAGATCATGATACCATGCATAACCAGAAAGGCTACCTGTCACAAAACTGTCTCTTCATCTGTGATTTCAACTTCTTGTTTATATATTCACTTTGCAGGTGGGACAGATTGGTTGCAGATGTATAGCTTTGGCACAACGCATGCCAAAATGACCTATGGATCCCAGAAGGGCTTGCAGACACAGGTTTTGGGTCCTGTGATGCTCTGTTGGTCCCATACCAGAGTGTATGCTATCACCTGAAAGAATGGCGGCAAGCAAATGTCTTATGAGTTTTCATTCTCTCTCTCTGGGATTTCTTTCTAATTAGGTACCTATGTAGCCCTCAAACTCCCAAAGAACTCTTCAACCATCACCATGCTTGTCTACACAATATCATTGAACAGATTTTTGGGGTCATGAAGCACCAGTGGTGCATTCTATAATTGCCCCCAGAGTATGGAATGGAACTCCAAGCATGTATACCTGCAGCACTTTGCGTATTACATAACTTTATTTGTAGGTATGACCCAGCTGTATTCAATATAGATGACGATTTGGAGGTCTTTGGAGGTAATGGAGGTGATGTTGGAAAGTTGGCTGAAGGCCCTGCTGATAGAGCAGAATGGCAAAGAGCAGAGTAATATTAGGAGGCGATCACTGCCAAAATGTGGGAGGATTATTGTGCAGAACATGTACATTGTGGTCTACCTGTACCTGGTCAACAATAGTCTACTTTGTACTCAATGAATTGAATGAATGAAATGAATCAAAATTTGAGATTGCAACAAGGGAGGACATGGAATTGTACTACAAACTATCTAATTATTCAAGGGAGTAGACACTACTTGGATTTGGCATAAAGCTTCTTGAGTTTCCTCAATATCCACATGGACCTAAGTTGAACGTCACTCAGAGCAACACATGCAACTGCACTGGCCTTGTTTTCAGCACACAAGAAGTGATTGACCATGTTGAGAATGTCCTCTGCTGACAACTCTGGGTCATGACGAACAATGTCAATGGCTTGTGCCAAATGAGATGCAGGGTTGGAGTTTGGTGAGTGGTATGGAAATGGGGGCATGTGTGAGCTTTTGGCAAATGTCTTGCTCAAGTCTCATACAATGTTGATGAGCTTTGACATTGCAGTGCTCCCCTCCTGTTAGGCCTGTACACCAGCAGATGAAGTGCATAGCTTCATCTGAGAAGTGTCACTGGCTCCAGTGTTGCACTTATTGCCACTATGGCTGGCACTGGTCATTACAGAGGAGTTGGTAGAGGTGATGAATGAGTAGGGAGAGGTGGGACTAGGAACTGGTGAGCTGTTGGAAGGGGAACCGGCAGTTAATAGTATATTATTTGCAGAGGTAGATAGGGAGGAAAGATCGAGCGTGTTCCAGGGTTCAGGAAACATGGCACGACTGGATGCAGGAACAGGTGGAGGAAGCATAAGAGAGCTGGAGGCGGGTGCCTTCTTTCTGCGAAGAACAAACACCCCTTTGGCTTTGTTCTTCCCATGTTTCTTGCATATCATTTCCAAAGTGAATGAAGCCTTTGTTGGAAAAGGGCTTTGCTGTAGGGCGGCTCTTTTTTAAAAAAATAGGACTGATTACAAGTAGACCACAGTATACTCACCCTCACAAGTTCATTCCATACACTCTGGTTCTCAGGTAACACCCCTACTCCATCTGCATGACTCCATGTAAGACTGGAAGTACTCTTGATGAACTGAACTTGAAGAAATGTGCCCTTAAGGTTCCCCAATTTGCTCTTGCAGGATCCAGGTAGTTTGTTGGAGCACATCTTGGACCCAGATAGATCCGGAGGATCGGACGATAGAGAAGCAGATCGGAGATCGACACCGGATGGTCGAAGGTATGTATATACTGAACTGGACCGATCCTTCTAACTTGCAGGCCCGGCAAAAGGCAACTGCATTGATTAGGGATATATTAGGAACAGTGTTATCAGCGGAGGGTATGGATGTAGTCGGAGGAGGTATGGTTTCTGTCGGAGGAGGGATATCCGAGGACGGAAGTGACGTCGGAGGGGTCGATGGCATTCCATGAGATGTCGTCCGGAATTCAATGCTGCCCAAAACCCAGTCAATCAACGGATTGTGTCGGGTGAGCCAGCTATATCCAAGAACGATAAAACAAGATGAATCCAAAGGGGTAACGTAGAACGTATCAGAGGTGACTACACCGGACGGAAAGCGGACGGACAAATCTATAGCTTCGGAAATAGTATTATTACAAGTACCATCAAACAAGCGGAGCGGAATCGTAGGTATCGGATATGTAGGGATTTTATGTTTTGGATGAACGCAGTATCTATGAAACAATGAGAAGAACCACAATCTACAAGAGCTGGAAATTCGGATACGGATGGAAGTAACGGAAGTGAAACATATGGACAGAGGGAAGTCGGATCCGAGAGCGCGACAGCATTGAGTCTTAACTCCTTTGTGCAGGCAGAGTCAATGCGACCCTCTTCCTGCACGGAGCTAGGAGAGTCGCAGACTATTTTTTGTCTCAGTAGAGACATCCGGTTTGACTTCCGGAGCGACTACTGCAGCGCGGCCTTTGGCAGCACGCGAAGTAGACTTGGTGCATTCCCGAGCTGTATGGCCGGGTCCGCCACAGAATAAGCAGAGTTTTTTGTCCATCCTTCTCTGCCGCTCTTCGGACGTTAACTTTCCGTCCTTACCCAGCTTGGAAGTAAGATCCGGAACCTTAGGAGCGGACGAGTTCGAGGACGCGGATGGCTTTGTAGACTTCTGATCATTGGAGTTTCCGGATTTGTGATTTCCGGATCCGGACGTATTGGAGTTCGTCCGGTCAGAAGCGGATTGCTTAGGGGTAGTGGATGAAGTGGGTTTAGCTTCTCGAGAGATCTCTCCCTTCCGTTCCCAGTATCGGGCGTCGATAGTCTGAGCGAGGACTTTGTACTCGGAAAGAGTAGAGGGTTTACCCATGCGACTGATTTCATCCTTGATACGGGCCAGGAGTCCGTTGTAGAATTGGCGTCGTAAGGCTCCGTCGCCCCAGCCACGAACCTGTGAAGCAAGACGCTGGAATTCCACAACGTACTTGTTGATGCGCTGTCCATCGCGCATGTGGAGCTGTTCCAATCCGGATGATCGTCCGAATCATCGGACAGGAGATCCGGTTCAAACCATTCAAGGGCCATACCCTTAAGGTAGGATTGGGCGAAGTTGACTTTAGCCCTTCCGGTACGGAAAGCCTTAGGCTTGCTCTGGAAGTTAAGCTCACACTGGACAAAGAACGCATGGAGCTTCCGTGGTTCGGATCCGTCGAAGGTATCCGGTTCTCGGACCTTGACTCTAGAATCTTCGGATGCGGGCGCGCGACGATTATTGCGAGCAAGGTTATCGATGGCTTCTGAGAGTCGAAGCATAACGCGGTCTTGTGGGTTTAGGCCGTCATTTTCATCATCCTCAACATCCGGATCATCATCCTCAACATCCGGATCATCATCCGGATCATCATCCGGATCACCACCGTTATCATCAGGTGGATTACCAGGGAAATCATCATCACCATCATCGGGATCATCATCGTCCGGAGGTCCTACGGCAGGAGTGCGTGTTGGGGCTTCTGGGTGTCGACGATTAAGGAGTTCGGATATGGTTTGAGCGGTTCCGTGGGTGCTAACACGGCGCTGAGAGAAACTGGTGAAGGTGTTGACTATAGGTGTCGGATCACGACGGAGGGAGGTTAGTCCGACCGCGTGCAGAGTTGTTTGTGTCTTGGTAGGAGGCATGATAGATGTTAAGTAACTCGGAAAGGTATGAGTTCGAATATACTGTTAAGACCGTACTCAAGTAGTATCGGATCCAAAGGGCTTCGGCCTCAGCTCGTGCGCTGTGCCCCTTTCCCGAGTCTTGCCCCTTATTTCAGAGAGCTAAAGTATCGCGTCTAGTGAGACGGATAAGTATCGTAACGGATAAGTCTTGTATTGCAACGGATAAGTATTGCAATGGATCCGTTAAGACTTCCGGATATCGAACGTATAGAGTAACGGCTAATCCGGATCGGATCTGGACTAGAAACTAACGGGTGAGGACTGTCCAAAGACAGAGGCGGATATGTAGACTATAGGAATCTATCCTAAGTCTCGGAGTAGACAAGAGTAGCGTACTCAAGTCCGGACGGATAACGGAGGGACTTAGAGTCCAGACGGAATGAGTGCAATCTAAGATGATATTTGAACTGATCTACTACAGCGCATATACAAAGGTTTATATACTACGGATAGCTAACGGAATGATCAATAAGCAAAGGTGCGAGGCTATGTACGAAAGTATAAGCAAAGTCTAAGTGGAGCGTATTGGTAAGTTGGATGGATCACGAATCATGAACCGGGAATGAAGTACAAGTAAAAGCGGATTCGTAAGTGTAGCGGATCAGTAAGCATAGCGGATCAGTAAGCAAAGCGGAAGTAAAGGATAACCGGTATACCGGTGTACAGGAATACCGAAAGGAGATGAACGATAGTTAGAGTTATATGAACAGGAAATGAAATAAGAATCAAAGCGGATCTGTGGACCGGACGACGGATATGTTCATCGGATCTGGATCGGATCTGAGATCCAGATCATCGGATCTGTAACCGGATATATGGTATATGACAAGTGGGCAGATTGTGAAGATGAAGGCGAAAACAACCTTCCAAACTCCTTCAGGTCTATCATGTACTTGAACTGCACATTTATTCTGAAGCTGAAAAGAGTCAGATAAACATTATTAGCTATGGTACGTGGCCCATATCAGGGTATGCATTGCTACAAAATGAAAAAAAGTGAAAGAACAACAACATGCTAATGTCTTCTGAGTGTGATCAAAGGAGTATTGTGAAAATAATAGTAAAAATACTGGACACCAATAAGTGATGGGTCGACAAGTGAATGTTTGGGATCAAGTTTTGCAACATTTGCCACAACCTCCAGATGCACGGCCAGAGGTACAGCTGTCTGAGGCATTACCAGTGGCGGTCCCAGATCACTGTGCCCTGATGTGAAGATTCACCTGCTTGTAGTAAAGGTCCACTAGTTGGTTGTCCAAAGGGCATTTCTGAGATGTATGGCGCACAGTGTCGAAATTATATGGGACAAATTGGAGGAAAGATAGGGCGGGTGATGTTGCCAGCATGAGAAGGGTCAGATGATGGGGGTGGGAGTGAAGCTCCAGCCACATTCACCAAGCATGTCATGGATGATGAGTACCTCTGTCGAGCATTGTCAACCACCACCTTGCTGGGTGCTCTATCATCAGCAGGGGGTATCAAGAGTATCATCTCTCTTATCACACTAATGAGCACAGTGTGGGTCAAGTGTGGGTGTTCATGTTAATCGTGCAAGTGTCCTACAGGGTCAGTCCACAGCTGTAAGGAACCTATTTTTGCCCACTCCAGGACTATCACATTCCACCTTTCAGATTCTTCATCAGCACATTTGGTAGGAGTATGTTGCATTGCAGGAAACCGCTCAAATGAGGAAGGAGGTTTGCCTTGCCAGGCCAGTTGAAGGTGGGTAGGTGTAATTTGCTGGAGATCAGGTTGCTGTTGTTGTTGTTCATAGAATTGTCAAGAATAGGTCTTATCTTTGGAGGAGGAAGCCAGTGTTTGACCTGATGGTACAGATCCTTGAGATTGATGTCAATGACCCAAAGAAGAAAGATGTACAACTCTAGGTTATGTGTCATGTGGAGAGCCTCATTTGAGTCGGCCATGGTGCCAAAAGGAAAAGTTCCCTGGAAAAAATGAGTACAAAGAGACATAAATGACATAAAGACACACAGTGATAGTCACAGCATTAGCTGTGCCATCTTTATCCAATAAGTTCAGGCCAAGGCCAAAATCTCTAGTCATCCCTGTATGCTTAGGAAACCAGGGTGTAGGGACTTCCAGAGTGGCGAAGTGCGGTTTACCACTTTGTAGTGATAGATACTATTCTGGAACTGCATACTGGGGGTTGGTTTGAGGAACCCAGAACCAAATGTTACTGTTGCTGATGTTACGGTACATAATGCCACGCCTGCATGCTTCAAGATGACCTGCAAATAATGTATGACATGAGATAGGAGGCTTGATAGAGATTGCATATGTACCTTGTAGTGAATCTAATATACAATGTAAAAACTTACAGCGGCAAGAGAACCAAGTGCATTTGACAACTGGGGTGTGAAATACTGTGCAATAGTGGATCCAGATATCACAGTCTACAGTCATTGCCTTCAAAATGGATGGCAAGCTGTCTGCAACTTGGTGGCCACTAATGCCATCCATCATCAAGAGAGCCTGCACAGAGAACTGATCGTCTTGTATGGGAAGGTGCCAGGGGTGCATCCCTTCAGCACCCAGATTATCTCATTCAGGTTGAGTGCCCCAGGACTGGAGTAGCTCCTCCATAGGTCTGACTTCTTTGGGCATTTTAGAAATATGATTGGGGAATGTGCCTGTTATCTCAATCAGATCAATGTGCGCATTATGGATCTAGGTTGGACTTACTAACTAAAAATGCCTATGTCCGAGTGATACATTCACTATTCTCCAGCAATTTGTGAATTTCTCCATCTGAGGCAAGCTCATAGTACTGCTACACATCCTTTACGACCAAGTAGTCAGTCTGAGTAGGGGAGGGTTGGTAGGTAAGGCCCATGATCCTGGTCAATTGGCCAATTGTCAAATTGCTGTTGTAGATCACTGATACAATATTGGCCATTGCCACATGTGCTGACTTAACTTCCCCCTGCAAGGCCATTTTGAAGCCACAGTCAACTCTTGTGATAGACTTGTCATAACCCAGGCACTCCAAGTCAGCATGCTTGAACCACGCAATGCAATTGAGGAAGTTGTTAGTGTCACAATACATGTCGATCGGAGTAGTTATGGACGATCCGCCACAAGTGTATATACACAAAGAGATCAGCACCCAGCAGGAGCAGGCCTACAAAGTACCGCTGATTAAGTTGATTCATCAAAACGAGTTGTGCAATCTCCGACAGGTAATTGGTCACTTCCTCTATGAGACTCTTAGTGTTGCGATACTTGATCTCCAACATAGAGATGATGTCTGTTCATTCAATGGAGTTGATAGGCCTCATTTCATCCATCAATACAGCATCAGGTTTGTGACAACTGGGCCTAAACCAACTGATCATGTCAGCACCAGTTTTGGGATGAATCAATGTGTTGCTAGTGTGAAGCCATGTATGATTACGAAGTTTTAACAGCACCAACATGCCCTGCTCTTGGGTAATGACTTCATCAACCCAAGAATTTGCCTACACAACGATGGTCAAGAAAAACAATGATACCAAGTACATTTGCTGCATAGAATGGTACTGACTTGGTTAAAAAATCTACCATGCCCTTCTTTTTTATAATGTCCCTTTGCTTATCATACAACCAAGGGGCATGCAGAGGTCAACCAATGACCAATCATATGCCCTTGCAGCTCTACAGCTTGAAACTGTTGAACATTGTTAGTGGATGATTTGTGAAATAACAATAGGCATACACCTGATTATACTACATGTTTGCCACATTCACAGCCTTATTTTCAAAGACCCACAGCTCTATAAGAGCATCTTATATCCTACGCTTGGCTATCACATGATATCTTACCTTTGGATCGTGGCTTGTCTATTTACATGTGTTTATCAAACATTGCCCATATCCTAGAGTCCTAGGTACTGTATACTCTTAGAACTGTCTGTAGTTGCAGTGGGGACCATACCATTGTTGTCCATATTGTGGAAGTTAAGCTTCACATCACCTAGACTCTTGTTGGTCCAATAATACAGTTCTATGAATTGAGCTTTATCAAATTTTTGCAAGGCAAAATTGCAAATGAGAAGAGACACTGCTGCTTGAATAGAGTGGGGCCAATCTGGAATTGAGATGTGGTGAATATGGTCCTTGTTTTCATCTTCTTTGGCTATAACTGCATCTTGCAATTTTTTAGGCAGCAGGGTGCTTGCTTTATCACCTGAAATACTGTAGTTGGTGTTAAAGAGATTAGTATATGACTTCAGTGTATCATCTGAGACCTTATTGTACACTGTTATACACATTGAATGCTTGGAAATGTTCTCCTTCAGCTGACTAAGGAGGCGAACCAAGGCAGGTCTAACAATGCCCAGAAAAAATTGATAGGGGTTGTTAGAGAGAGGGGTAAAACCCATGGGCATTCCTGTATGTTCTTCCTCTGCTGTTTTACAGCAGGATTGGCTAGCACCACCATTGCTAAAACAATGAAAAGATTTCTTAAGGAGCCTGTCTCTAATGTAGGGTGTGGTATGTCTAACGTCCACAGTAGGCTGCATGAACATTTATTCTCCAGGAGAAGTAATTAGTGTTAAGAAGTGGATCAAATTGTATGATAGCTCACTTTAGAATCAAATCAAATGCTACGTTGTCATCAGACTGCTAAGCTACTGCTTGTTCCTCAAGAGAACAGGGGAGACAAGGTGTATAACCACCATTCAGGTTCTGGCCAACCAGTTCTAGAACTTCCGCTGAAAAATCCATACTCTAGTTATTTTCTCTGCCTTCCACCTCACAAAGTATCTCTGGCTGAAGTGCATTGATGATGTTGCAAATGTGAGACTTGCTGAGGCCAGATTCAAGAAGTATGTGAGAAGGAGAAGGCAGCTGCTCTCGCGCATTTGAGCTGGCCGTGTTATATCTCCACAGAACTCCTCCATAAAACAAATTCAATAATCCTAGAAGACTGTGAAACGCCAGTCTGGATCTCTTGGTACAAAGCAAAGCGTAACAATGAGTCCTGTGATTGTAGAGGTAACTATAAGAGGAGGGGAGTGGTATATGCCAAAATCCATGGGGAGTAGGGCATAGGAGCTGAAGACAGAAGCAGCTTGGTAGAGGGTGTTCTTATTGATGCAAAGTGAATCTCAACTAAAATATTTCTTCAGAGTCTGGATCTTTGTACTTGAAGTCATCTTTAACTGATGAGAAGGATGGGCACACTGTCTGTGTGGCTGAAAATGGGACAGAATCAACTGCCTTTACATAGGAAAGTTGTGGGTGGGTTTGGATGATCTTGATTGATAATGAGCAATTATTTAGGATTAAGTGTCATAATTGCTATCTTGCCATCACTAGATAATCTATTCTTGTTATCTTTGACCTGTCCTTTATCTCTGACTTGTCTCTTATCTCTGACTCATTCTTGCTTTCATGCTTGCCCTAAAGCAAGTTATCGTTTACTATATAAATTTGCTCGCTACACTGTAGTCACAGACTACAAAACCTTAAGTACTTCGCAACCACAAAACTCCTCTCCCACCATCAGGCCTGCCGGTCGGAATTTCTCCATCAGTTCAATCTTATCATCCACTTTCATCCTAGAAAACTCGGAGCTAAACTGGATTCCCTTACTATTTCCGTCCAGTATTCACATCCGAACAGGTAGCTTCATCCCTATGAGCCTCAACCCTAGCAACTCCGGTTCTTAGAGCAGCTGTTCTAATTGATATTGATGACCTTAGGAAAGACATCCTGACCACTGTGAAAATCACAATCTGACTAGGCACTTGTAAAAGTACTCAGCCAGTATATGTGGTCTTAGTTCTGCCTAGCTGCTACATCTGCAAGCAAGAGTGTTTGACTCTAAAGGGGCCTGCTGTCATATACCATACTTCCAGTCCAGGTCCAGACATTCAGATCTGTTATTTCCTTACATTGTCCAGTCTACTGATCTGATCTGGTCTACTATTCATTTCCTGTTCATATAACCTTAATACAGCATCTATCTCCTTTTGGTAATTCTTTGACTACCGGTACTCCAGTTATCTGTACTTCTGTTTGTCTTACTAATCTGTTACATACCTTTCATCTCCAATTCATGATTGGTGATCAATCCTACTTACCAATAGACTTTGCATATGCTTCATACATAGCCTTGGACATTGCTGATTGATCATTCCATCAGGTACCTATAGTATATAAACTCTAGTACAACTCTGTAACACCTCAGTTCAAATATCATCTTAGATTATACTCATTCTTGTCTCGGACTTCAAGTCCTCCTCTGTCTATCTTCTGTCCTCCATCTGGACTTGAGTTACTTTAACTCTGGTCTACTCTGAGACTTAGGATTAATTCCTATAGTCTATATCTCCACCTCTGTCTTAGGACAGTCTACCTCTGATAGTTTCTAGTTTGGACTCTGTCTGGATTAATTGTTATGCTACTTCTCTGATATTTGGAAGTCATCCGGAATGGACTATAATTAGGACAGTCTACCTCTGATAGTTTCTAGTTTGGACTCTGTCTGGATTAATTGTTATGCTACTTCTCTGATATTTGGAAGTCATCCGGAATGAACTATAATTAGGACAGTCTACCTCTGATAGTTTCTAGTTTGGACTCTGTCTGGATTAATTGTTATGCTACTTCTCTGATATTTGGAAGTCATCCGGAATGGACTATAATACTTGTCTGTCCCTCTGGATGCGATATCCTTAGCCTTCTTAAATAAGGGACAATACTCAGGAAAGGGGCACAGCGCACGAGCTGAGACCAAAGCCCTTCAGATCTATTACCATTTTAGTATAACCTTAACTAAAACACAACCACCATGATACTCCCCAATTTGTTGGATGTATTCACACATCCACCTAGTCATTTGCCATCTAAGGATTCAGAGACATGTTTCGATGAATATCCTTGAGAACATCCTCTGCTAGCCCAGACCTTTGGTTCATGAACATCCAATTGGACATCCATATAAGTACAAAGCTAGGTCAAAGACACAATTGAACTGTCTGGCGGTATTGCTCGATGAAGACTTCCATATATCAAGCATGCCCAGAACAAGGGACTTCATATATAAGGACATTATGAACATCCCACCAAAGCAATGTAGCCAGTTCAATCACTACCTCTAGGTACATCCATTTGTCCTGCACAAAGATTCAACACCTGATTCCCAACTGCATTATGCAGCAAAGGCCCAAGACCACTTGGTGAACAAGATTTGACTGTGCTGTAGGTGAAAGCACCAAATCAAATTATATGAGTCTCCTGCTCTGCCTAGCTGCTATTCCTGCTAGCAAAAATTTTGACCCTAAAGGATCTCTGACTAGGCTCAGGCTCAAAGGTAGTAAATGAAGAAAGTATACTAAGACCAGGCCAACTCCAAACCCAAGTTCCCCTTCTCCTGTTTTTATGAAAACCAGCTTAAACCATTGTCTTACCTTATATACCACCACAAGCCTATTTAAACCATTATTTTCCAAGCTATGGGCTCAAATCCTAAACAGTTTATCATCTTCACTACTTACACTAAATGGCTAACTCAGCAGGATCCTCACCCTGAGGCCCTACCTAACATATTAGAGTTGATTATTGTCTATATAAATCTGAAGTTAGCAAATCATCTGCCTGGTGAGCCATTAGCCTTATCTCAACTCTCAGAATACTGACTGTTATCTAGCTCTAATGATTACCCTGACAACTGCTACATTGCATTTTAAATGTCCATCCATCCTTCTGATAATCCTAGTATTTTGTTGAACACTCCACAGTGATGAAATATGATTTGAATGAGATCCTCTAAGAATATGAGGTCCTCAAGTTCAATAGGTTGATTGAATAGGAGGTAAACAGATGTTGCTACCTAGTGATTTTGACTAAACCTCTTAGATAAAAACCTCTGTAGGTGACAATCAATCTAAGAGGTGTCTGTAAGGAGGTGACCAAAGTGTAATTTTTCTCAGGCTGGCTCTTTCAATGTGATTATACATAATATTTACATATGATATTGGGGAGATGTATTAATCAAGAAAGATTCTCCACATAAAAGTTGCTATGAGTACTGTACCATTATTGCAATGTACAAGTGAC